TCCCCAACTTAGGAGCCCCCTATTTGATCGAATCGCTGACGTTGTTGAGTCTAGAACAAAATGTTTGAGTCTTAGGATTATATATATCAGAGAGTAGGATTCTTTTTACTCCCCAATCCCTTCGTCGCTTTGGTGAGGCCTCCTGACGTATAGTTTTGACTCTTCTTTCCTCAAATTTCATGAAAAAAATTAGGATCACGCGGGTATCTTGGAATCGTTCCGATGGTTTTGTGACGAGAACATTGTTCTTGGTCCCTCCTGACATTTAGGGGTTGTGGCAGTGTCCCGGGGAGTTGAGCTCCGAGGTGTTGTCCTCACAATTTTATCGTTGCAGTTCTGGAATACCTGAGTTCGCCGACATAAAAAAAATCTCTTTTATGTAGTTGCTGGTGAGATAACCTCGATGCCACCCAGTACTGGGGCGGGAGTTCGGGAGTATTGCCATAACTCATATAACAGATGTTTTTTGAAGGTTGAGGTACATGATTTCCGAAGGTTTGTTGGTTATGTGTTGAAGGATGGATACAGTTGGATGTAGGGATTGTTAGTTTGGGTGAAATATATTGCTTCCCCTGTATCCCCAACACCTGATTGCATAACCAGAAAGTTTTGGGAGTTTATAAGTGGGAATTCAAGTAGCTCCTAGGATATCTTTCTCACAGATGTATGATATGAAATTGGGGTTCGACGTCTAGTGGTCCGCCTATCCACTGTTGGTTTTACAGTGGTCTCTTTGTGTCTTAAAGAGTCCTTGGCTATGCTGACTCGGGGACGCTTTGTATGTCATGTGCACTGCCTTGTACATGATGGTGTTGTACGATCGAGCCCATGTGGGCCCCACCATGAAAACTTCGAACGAAATCTTTATCATATGTTTGTTCCGGCTTATTCTGCAAGCCAATCCTTTGTTTTGTTTTGAGTTGTGGTATTCGAGTTGCTTCTATGTCAAGTGTTGATTCCATACCTTTTTGTAAGCGGCGTTCTCATATTTCTATATGAATACTAATCCTTCATGATAATCGATATTGTCATGTCAATTCTTTTCCAACCGACGTGCTCCAGTTCAGTGGATCCGATCATTTTCAACATTCGTAAAATCACTTTTCGGTTTTCCTCAATGGTGTTTGTTTCATCCGTCCCAAGTTGTCTTTGTTTTTCCCGCCCTCCCACCCTTTTTCTTCAAGGACCCAGATTTCTTAATCAAGTATCAATTTCATTCATGTGAAGACTCTTCATCCTTTTCCTTCAATGTTCTTACCTGGTGATTCTCATGAAGATGCTAAGGAAGCTACAAGTTCACCATTCTTCGTTCTAATTCTTCTCCGGTGGATTTAATTCAAGATTTTTCGATCATATTCTTTCCTCGGTTCAAATGCTTTCTCATGCCGGTGCACCTCTTAATCATTCATTTCTCACTATTCATTTGTTCCGGAGTGCTGAAGATTTCTCAGAAGATTCGTTTCCATTCTCAATCCGTTCAAGTTATTTTGAGGATGTTATCTCTTTCAAGCCATTTAATTCAACCGGTGCATTCTCTCTTTTAAATCATTTCAACGGTGTTTCTCTTGAGTGGGCCCTAACCCATAGGTCTTTTTCCGGAGTTATTCTCAAATTCATTGCAAAGTTTGACGTAAGAATGAATTGTCATCAGTCAAATGTCTTTCTCCAAGATCTTTCAAATTATTTTCATCATCGGTTCAACCTTTCTAATTTTCACGCCGGAGTATCTCAACAATTCATGGTGGTGTTTCTCATCGTCATTCTCTGCATTTGAAGACTGAAGAAGTGTTTCCTCTAAATCTTGGTCCGTTCTCTCGAAGATCCATGGTTCTAGCGTTATGCCATCCTCTCATAATTATTTTTGATTGTGAGAATTCTTTTCACCCATCCGAAGAAATTCAAGAGTCTTTTTTCAGTTTGATTCTCCGAATACCATCATTGCAGGTTTATTCATTCTCAGCTTTCAGCTCTCATTCTCCAAATCTTATCGGTGCATCGTTCAAGTTTTCTCTAATCAGATCGTGATCTCTTCGTTCTCATGTATCTAAATTCCCTCAAGTATCTTCATCTGTTCTCTAATTCTTCCCGGTGTTTCCTTATCTTCTCTTCGTTCATTTTCAATTCTTACGGTGGTTTGTTCAAGAATTCTCTTCCTTTGTTTTTCATATTAATTCATTCGTTGTTTCGAAATCCTACTGGTGGTTCGTTGAAGTCCTTCTCAAGTTTGTGCTATATCTATCTTAATCCTTTGTACGAGAATAAGTAGTATGCCAAATCCGTTGCTTGTCATCAATTTAAATTGGTGAAGGATACGCATAACGTAATTCTTATTATTGTTTCATCCAAGTGATCTAATTTATTCTTTTCGGAGTTGTTCATCATATCACATTCTCGGTTCGAGATGCTTCATCTTTTCTTTCTAGAGTTCCAAGTTTTCCGCTTTATCTCGTCGCGAAGCTCCATCCAATCATTGCAAGGCTTCAATCTTATTCTTTTCATCCTTCACTTCTTTTTGATCATTCTTTTATTACCGGAGTTCTTCATGGAGGCTCTACATGGTGGTTCATCAAGGATTTAATTCCTTCTCGAAGTGTTCATCGATATTTTTTTAGTGGAGCTCAAGTATTCTTCATCTTGCATTCTGTAGTGCAATTCTTTCTACCTTATCTTTTGAGGTGGTGTTATGTCACTCTTAACAATTTCTTCATGTTTCGCGATTCAAATGTTGTCAAGTATGAGGTATTTTAAATGCATCAATCTCTTCGTTGGAGTTATCTTGGGTTATATTTCACCTAAAGCTTTCCCTAAGGATTGTTGTTATTTATGGTGCTTATAAATGACCCAAGTTCTTCATTTATCCTCCCAGTGATATAAGTTTCTCGTCTCCTTGTTGATATCAATCCAATCTATTGATTCCATTGTGGCAGAATTTCGCCTCAATTTTGAGAAGTTTTCCATAAGCCCACAACAATCTTACTCTTTTCGTTGTTGGTGTTCCAACAACTCCGTTTTAACCTTCTTGGAAGGGTGCTTTCCTAGTTCATTGGTGGCAGAAGCTGACTTTTACTTTTACATTCTGTTATTCCAATGATCTATCTTCTATTCTTTCTTCCGGAGGCATTGTGATGTTGCTCTCTTCACTCATCATCTCGAATAGCGAGGACTGTGTTCCTTTCGTACTTATCCATTTAACCGGAGTGTTGTCCGAAATCTTTCTTACCTATGGTGCCATTCTCTCAATAGTTCCGGAGGCAATGTGTTGTTGATTTCATCAAGTATCCTCTCATCTTGTCAAGTTCATGTTCAATTCCTTTCATTTACAGTCGGAGTAATGTCCAAATTATATCATTCTTATTTCTTCTCTATCTTGTTTTAATTGGAGTGTTGTGGCTATCATTCCTCTTCTAGCCGGAGTCTCATCCAAGTACATTTTGCCAAGTTCATATTATTGCCTTCCATTTCCAACTGGAGTGTTGTCGTAATTGATCCTTATCATTCCTTGTACATCTCGTTTCATCCGGAGTGCTTGCATGTACTTCTTGTCCATTGCAACCCTTTTCTCATGTCTTTCAACCTACAGGGTTCTCGTGATGTTCCTTGTTCCTCTTTTCTAACGGAGTGTTTTCAAATTCGATCATCTCTGTTGTATTCTTTCTCAAAATGGTTTTAACCTTTCAAGGTTCTTTGGTTTCACTCGTTTGTCAAAGAAGCAACTCTGTTTTACCTCTTCTCTTCCCTTCCGTTTCCCTCCGGTGCCATCCTAGATCTCGGGACGAGATCCTCTTGTAGTGGTGGAGTGTTGTGACGACCCAAGACCGAGACCTCCATTATTATTTTTATTTTGTGTTATGTTCATGCGTGCTTGCTCGCTTGTGATGTTTGTTTTATTTTATTTTGCATCATGCATCTTCTCCATACCATTGTCGTGTTTGTTTAACTTAGTTGCTCATGTGCATTGCAACTTCTTTTCTTCTCTTGATCCTTCCATCAACCCCATGCTCACTTCCAACTTGGTTTCACCCAAGTTTCAAATCCCTATGCCACTTCCTTCTTTCCCTTTTCTCTATTTATTTGAGTTGCAAATAGATTTACTCAAATAAATGTTCATCTTTTGCCCATAAATCATATTTATTATGTAGGGTCATCCTATAAAATTTAAGCTCATTTGGATTCAGTTTGGTTAGGTTATAAATTCATGCAAGTTTGAATTAAATTCGAACATGTTTAAATTTATATTCTGTAAAAAAATCCCAAACTAATTTGATTAAATCGGGCATGTTTCATGTTTTCCAGAAATATGTCCCTCCATCCCTACTTCAACCCCGAACCCTCTATACTTTTCTCTCTATTTCTGTTTATGCAATAAATAGAAAGGGAAGAGGTAAATCAGATAAGTGAGGGAAGCCCAGCTGGGCCTCCCAGCCTCCCGCGTCGGCCCACCTAGGCCACTTGGGCCTCCTGCAGCCGCACCCTGCTCAAACCCTAGTCCCCGTCGTTGCATCTCCATCGATCCCTCTCCCTCGCATACTCCCACACCGCCGTCAGCAGCGCCACACGCACACACGCATCGCGCCTTGCCCGATCCCCATCTCCCTCCGCTCCATCTCCTCACCCTCTTGTTCTCCCAGCGTCCCCGCGCGCGCCATGGCGTCCTCCAGCTACGTCGTGTCGGCCGGCCACCAGAGTTGTTGCCGGCTGCCGCCCCACAGCTCCCTGCCTCCCGCTCCCTCCTTGATTTAGTCCGAGAGGAGCTCGAACCCCAAGCCGACCCCGAGCGCTTCCTCAGCCTCGAGCACGCCCCTGCTCGTGGCCTCCCGAGCGCAAGACAAGCAGCGCCGCCGCAAGGAATGGACCCAGCAGCTCCGGATTCGTCTAGTTCCGTCCCTGCCGGAGCTGCGCCTGAGCTCCTCCTCCTCGCCTCGTCCGTGCTGGAAGCGGCCTCCCACGCCCCACCATCGTCGTCGGCCACCACCAGCATCTCCAGCACCGCCTCCTGCTGGTCACCTCCACCCCCTGGACCCGCTGGTCCTCCTCGTCACCGAGCCGTGCGCCTTCTCATCGCCCTGCCTCCATGTCCACTGTGTGCGCCAGCGACCATGTCCGAGCACCACGTTTTCTCCGCTGCCCCGTGCACCTTTGGCTGCTTCCCGCTGCACCATCGCCTCCTTGCTGCTGCCTGCCTGAGGCCCTTTTGTCTTGTTGAGTTTTTGGATTGGCAAGAACAACACGCCAAGACCCGTATCCGGACGGTCAAGCATCTTCTCCGAGAATTTTGCCAAGTTCCATGACACGACGACCCTCGGACGCGTCAAGTAACACTACTGTCAAGTACCTCTTCGCAAGACCAAGTTCCTCTATGATATATGTATGACTACCGACATGGAAGACCCATGAACCAATAATGTCAAGTTTGACTACCGTCGACGTGCACTTCGCCAAGTACCACTCCATTTCTGGAAGAACCATGAACATCAAGTTCTCTGCCATGAACGGTTACAGTGTTGTGGATCCGGCAAGTACCCTCTCTAGATCGCCATGTTCGACTACCGATGACATATACCACTACCATCGCCGAGATCGCGAGAACCTCTACTTCCCCTTCAAAATGTGTACCACTACCGCCGCCCGAACGTCTACAGAACATGTACCACGACCATCGCTGAAGACCCTGTGGACGTCAAGTTCCATGTCATGACCCCAAACATCTACGGACATGAACCACTACTTCCCTCGACGACCCGTGAACAACTAATTCCTCTAGAACCGATTCGCTTCGAAACGCACGCTTCAAAGGTATAACCGCCGAGAACGACCACCCGTGGACGAATGCTTGTGTTGTATGAGATGTATGGTTGGTTGTTGTATTCGCCTGTGAACGTTAGCTGTTCCTCCTCGTTGCCATGCCGTCCACCCGTGGGAACCCAATAACTGGGATCACCCCACCATCTTTTGCACGCTCCCGTCACACTTCCTCCGCACCGGTATCTCCGTAAGCTACCGGAACCGATATGTTGCCGTGGCATCATTTTCGGATTCGTTGTCGTGGCACCCCTTTCGTTTCCGCCACGATGACAAATGCATCATAACATGCTCTTATCAACATTTTCATAAAACTTAAATAAAACTTGCACATGTCATCCGCATCATGATAATAACATTTGAAATGTTTAAATTGTTGTTTGCTTCAATTGCTAAATGACATGTGGGGAGTTACCGGAATGGGTATTTGTTGTTTCCGGCCTCACTTAAAATTGCCTAAAATGTGTAGTTTACTTTTGCCTCACCCCTTTCCTTGTTAAGAACATTTAATATTGCTGAGTACCTAAACGGGAGAGAACTAAATAATTAAATGTGGTGTTTCTTCAATATGCAACTTGTTACATATTGAGCTCCACTTAATTTGTAGTATTGTTTATGCATATTGCCATGCCATGCCTCTTTAAACCGGACATGCATCATATTTGATTGTGCATCATGCTATGTTTATGCTTGTTGGTTTACCATGTTGTTTGCTCCTTTCCGGTTGTGCTTCTTCGGGTTAGTTTCAATAACGTCGCGTTTGTGAGGATTCGTTCGACTACATCCGTTTGTCTTCTTCATGGACTCGTTCTTCTTCCTTGCGGGATCTCAGGCAAGATGACCGTACCCTCGAAATCACTTCTATCTTTGCTTGCTAGTTGCTCGCTCTAGTGCTATGCCGCGTTACCTACCACTTTCTATATCATGCCTCCCATGTTGCCATGTCAAGCCTCTAACCCCCCTTTCCTAGCAAACCGTTGTTTGGCTATGTTACCGCTTTGCTCAGCCCCTCTTATAGCGTTGCTAGTTGCAGGTGTAGATAAAGTTTATTCCATGTTGGAACATGGATTTGTTGGGATATCACAATATCTCTTATTTTAATTTAATGCACATAAATACTTGGTAAAGGGTGGAAGGCTCGGCCTTATGCATGGTGTTTTGTTCCACTCTTGTCGCCCTAGTTTCCGTCATACCGGTGTTATGTTCCTTAATTTTGTGTTCCTTACGCGGTTGGGTGTTATGGAAACCCCTTGACAGTTCGCTTTGAATAAAACTCCTCCAGCAAGGCCCAACCTTGGTTTTACATTTTCCTAACAATCTAAGCCGTTTTCCCTTGGGTTTCCGGAGCCCGAGGGTCATCTTTATTTTAACCCCCCCGGGCTAGTGCTTCTCTGAGTGTTGGTCCAACCTGTCAGTCGTCGGTGGCCACCAGGGGCAACTCTGGGCTGGCCTACCGGAAGCTTGGACAATCCGGTGTGCCCTGAGAACGAGATATGTGCAGCTCCTATCGGGATTTGTTGGCACATTCGGGCGGCTTTGCTGGTCTTGTTTTACCATTGTCAAAATGTCTTGTAACCGGGATTCCGAGACTAGTCGGGTCTTCCCGGGAGAAGGAATATCTTTCATTGACCGTGAGAGCTTGTGATGGGCTAAGTTGGGACACCCCTGCAGGGTATAAACTTTTGAGAGTTGTGCCCGCGGTTATGTGGCAGATGGGAATTTGTTAATATCCGGTTGTAGAGAACTTGACACTTAACTTAATTAAAATGCATCAACCGCGTGTGTAGCCGTGATGGTCTCTTTCCAGCGGAGTCCGGGAAGTGAACACGGTTCTTGTGTTATGTTTGACGTAAGTAGTTTCAGGATCACTTCTTGATCACTTCTAGCTTCTCGACCGTTGCGTTGCTTCTCTTCTCGCTCTTATTTGCATATGTTAGCCACCATATATGCTTAGTGCTTGCTGCAGCTCCACCTCATTACCGTACCCTACCCATAAGTTTAAATAGTCTTGATCTCGCGGGTGTGAGATTGCTGAGTCCTCGTGATACTAGTGCAGGTGACGCAACCGAGCTCAAGTGGGAGCTCAATGAAGATCTTGTTCATTGTTATGTGTCTTTTCTGGTTGATTAGTAAAGGAGCCTAGTTGGGACGATTGGGGATCTAGCATTTGGGGTTGTCTTCTTTTATTCTGGTTCCGTAGTCGGACCTTTGATTGTAGTTTGGATGATGTATGAACTATTTATGTGTTGTGTGAAGTGGTGATTGTAAGCCAACTCTTTACCCCTTTCTTATTCAGTACATGGGATGTGTGAAGATTACCCCTCTTGCTACAAGCCTACCATGCGGCTATGCCTCTAAGTCGTGCCGCGACACGTGGGAGATATAGCCGCATTGTGGGTGTGACAAGTTGGTAATCAGAGCCTTCCCCAACTTAGGAGCCCCCTGTTTGATCGAATCGCTGACGTTGTTGAGTCTAGAACAAAATGTTTTGAGTCTTAGGATTATATATATCAGAGAGTAGGATTCTTTTTACTCCCCAATCCCTTCGTCGCTTTGGTGAGGCCTCATGACGTAGAGTTTTGACTCTTCTTTCCTCAAATCTCATGAAAAATAAATTTAGGATCACGCGGGTATCTTGGAATTGTTCCGATGGTTTTGTGACGAGAACATTGTTCTTGGTCCCTCCTGACATTTAGGGGTTGTGGCAGTGTCCCGGGGAGTTGAGCTCCGAGGTGTTGTCCTCACAATTTTATCGTTGCAGTTCTGGAATACCTGAGTTCGCCGACATAAAAAATCTCTTTTATGCAGTTGTTGGCGAGATAACCTCGACGCCACCCAGTACTAGGGCGGGAGTTCGGGAGTATTGCCATAACTCATATAACGGATGTTTTTCGAAGGTTGAGGTACATGATTTCCGAAGGTTTCTTGGTTATGTGTTGAAGGATGGATACAGCTGGATGTAGGGATTGTTAGTTTGGGTGAAATATATTGCTTCTCCTGTATCCCCAACACCTGATTGCATAACCAGAAAGTTTCGGGAGTTTATAAGTGGGAATTCAAGTAGCTCCTAGGATATCTTTCCGACAGATGTTTGATATGAAATTGGGGTTCGACGTCTAGTGGTCCGCCTATCCACTGTTGGTTTTATAGTGGTGTCTTTGTGTCTTAAAGAGTCCTTGGCTATGCTGACTCGGGGACGCTTTGTATGTCATGTGCACTGCCTTGTACATGATGGTGTTGTACGATCGAGCCCATGTGGGCCCCACCATGAAAACTTCGAACGAAATCTTACCTATGGTGCCATTCTCTCAATAGTTCCGGAGGCAATGTGTTGTTGATTTCATCAAGTATCCTCTCATCTTGTCAAGTTCATGTTCAATTCCTTCCATTTACAGTCGGAGTAATGTCCAAATTATATCATTCTTATTTCTTCTCTATCTAGTTTTAATTGGAGTGTTGTGGCTATCATTCCTCTTCTAGCCGGAGTCTAATCCAAGTGCTTTCATTTTGCCAAGTTCATATTATTGCCTTCCATTTCGAACCGGAGTGTTGTCATAATTGATCCTTATAGTTCCTTGTACATCTCGTTTCATCCGGAGTGCTTGCATGTACTTCTTGTCCATTGATAACCCACAAGTATAGGGGATCGCAACAGCTTTCGAGGGTAGAGTATTCAACCCAAAATTATTGATTCGACACAAGGGGAGCCAAAGAATATTCTCAAGTATTAGCAGCTGAGTTGTCAATTCAACCACACCTGGAAACTTAGTTTCTGCAGCAAAGTGTTTAGTAGCAAAGTAATATGATAGTAGTGGTAGCGGCAACAAAAGTAAAGACAGCAAAAGTAATGTTTTTGGTATTTTGTAGTGTTTGTAATAGTAGCAGCGGGAAAGTAAATAAGCGAGAACCAGTATATGGAAAATTTGTAGGCACCGGATCAGTGATGGATAATTATGCCGGATGCGGTTCATCATGTATCAGTCATAACATAAGGTGGCACAGAACTAGCTCCAATTCATCAATGTAATGTAGGCATGTATTCCATATATAGTCATACGTGCTTATGGAAAAGAACTTGCATGACATCTTTTGTCCTACCCTCCCGTGGCAGCGGGGTCCTATTGGAAACTAAGGGATATTAAGGCCTCCTTTTAATAGAGAACCGGAACAAAGCATTAGCACATAGTGAATACATGAACTCCTCAAACTATGGTCATCACCGGGAGTGGTCCCGATTATTGTCACTTCGGGTTGCCGGATCATAACACATAGTAGGTGACTATAGACTTGCAAGATAGGATCAAGAACTCACATATATTCATGAAAACATAATAGGTTTAGATCTGAAATCATGGCACTCGGGCCCTAGTGACAAGCATTAAGCATAGCAAAGTCATAGCAACATCATTCTCAGAACATAGTGGATACTAGGGATCAAACCCTAACAAAACTAACTCGATTACATGATAAATCTCATCCAACCCATCACCGTCCAGCAAGCCTACGATGGAATTACTCACGCACGGCGGTGAGCATCATGAAATTGGTGATGGAGGATGGTTGATGATGACGACGGCGACGAATCCCCCTCTCCGGAGCCCCGAACAGACTCCAGATCAGCCCTCCTGAGAGGTTTTAGGGCTTGGCGGCGG